GATTATATATGAAATTATAGCGGTCTCAAGATTTTACCAGGATCCGACGTTTTTAAGTATTCCAAATTATTATTATTATTAGATATAGAAAAATTAATTATTATAACAGTACCATTAACGTAATGTAGTCACAGTTCGTCATCTTACCCCAATAATGTATGCACCTAATTTTGACACTTGCAGGGCTAAGCGTGTTTCCGTCTACAATCCACCATGCAGTGAGCAAGATTGTGGGGTACATGAGCATTCCTCCTGGGGATTATAGGCTCACAAGGCAGCTGTGGCCATGTTTGGTCCTTGGCAGGTAGCCATTGGATGCCTCACATCCCTCACTCCATTACTACACTCATGGTAGGTCATTTTTAACCTCCCGGTATCCTAAAGCAAATATGTAGCCTGGGTGTTAATCGCTGACTCCAAGAAATCTAATAACACTATGCAAACAAATCACAGAATGGATGAGGCTTGAACCTATGGCATGGCCTCACCCGTTCTGTTTTTTGTGGGTTGTATCCTTAATAGAAGAACCCAGGTGGAAATCCATATTGTTTACTGACGTTTGTTAAAAAAAAGAGCATCTCTGGTAAGGCCTGTGTTATTCAACATCAAAGCTTCAAATGCCATAGTAGCAGAAACATTATTTCTCGTACTTTCCTGAGTTTGAAAGTATTATCTTGCACTCTGTACTATGTAAAACATTACTTAGGTACATAATAGGCCCAGGGCTTTTTCTTAATTCGAAAGTGTTTCCAGCCTTACAAATTAGCTTTAACTTAATACCTTAACTTGCACAACCACCCATCCAGTGGATGGTAGTTAAATGATTACAGAGGTACATATGGGTCACAGAAGTAAAATACTGTAGTTCAATTTTGGTCTTACAGGTGGGCAACTGTAATTCCACAGTAGAATAGTTGCATATTTGCAATTTAAATGGACAGTTTAATTATTTTTTTTTCACTTTATACAAGTCATTTATTTTTATATAGTAAACACACACACATTGTCTACAAACATTTTGATTATGCCCTTCATTGATATGATTTAAGTTTACAAAAATTAATATATATACATTCTGTAAGCAGCCATTTTGTTACTCATGAGGAAATATTTTTGTTTCAGGTGTATACTATGACCCTCAGTGTTCATCAGTGCAGTTGACAACACGGGGCACTGGTTGTGGGGTATGGCACTGAGTGGGGCAGAGATTACTGGCTTGTCAAGAATTCGTGGAGCTCAGCCTGGGGTGACGGTGGCTACATTAAGATAGCGCGCAATCTTAACAACCAATGTGGTATAGCAAGTGCTGCTGTGTATCCTCTCGTGTGATAAATGGTTTAAAACCGACAAGTTGAAGATTGAGACACTTATGCAACATATGGAATTTTAATAAAGAACACGTTTTTCGCCATACAGTGGCTTCCATCATCCCACCCCCCCAATACAAATCAGAAAGGGTGTTAAGGAGAGGAGAGTTTTGAGTAATTAGTCCCTAAGCCTTGGGAATGGATGGACTGAACACATCGACTCCAGCTGAGGAACTAATTTACTTCAAACTCTCCCTCTCCTTACACCCTTCTGATTTGTATTGGACTGATGAAGCCACTTCGTGGCGAAACGTTTCTTCAATAAAGATATCCCATAAGTTGCATAAGTTCTCAATCTTCACCTCTCCGTGAATCTTAGGCTTGGAGATTTGCTGCTTTCCACTCTCTTCTCTCTCTCTCTCTCTCATTATATATATATTATTATATAATATAATAAAGTATATATATATATATAATAAATAATATATATATAGATATATAAATATATTATATATATATATAAATATACCTGTTATGTATTAATGTACACTTGAATGACTTACGGAATTTACGCTTGCCCCCCAGAATGAAATAATGGTCATCTTATATTCTAAATAAATTATTTAATATTTCTAAATCCCTGTTTTTAATTCTTAACAAAATGAATATATGTTATAATGATGGTGAGAATGAGGTGAATGGAACAGCACTTTGCAAGTAGCAAATCCGACCTCAACCAGATGTGCACTCAGAAGTGAAAGGAAGTATACACAGTCTGCTAACTTTTTCCTCTCTCTGCTGATATACTATATCTCACACACACAACATTATATATATATATATATTATAAATCATAATATATTATATATATATATATATATATATAAATAAATATAAATAAGATATATATAATAATATATATTATATATATATATATATATATATATATATATATATATAATATAATCTATATATATATAAATATATATATCCATATAGATATAAAGAGAGAGTATAGTTTTTACCAACGCTCTTAAATGGGGTGTGAAGCAAGGGTATGAATTTGCAGCGAGGAGAAGGCTGGCGGCATGTGAGATGTCATTTCTGAGCAATGTTGGTGTGAATATAAGCAGATAATTCGTAGTTTGGAAGTTAGGAGGAATGGGGGTGCGGGATTACCAAAACTGTTGTCTCAGAGGGCTGAGGAAGGGTTGTTGAGGTGGTTCGGAAATGCGAGACTGAACAAACAGAATGACTTGAGAGTGAATAAAATTGTAATGGAGGGAAGCGGGGTAGGGTCCGGCCCTAGGAAAAGCTGGAAGGGAGGGTAAAGGATGTTTGTGGACCAGGGGCTGACATCCATCAAACAAGCGTGAGCTATTGAGAGGAGTGAATGGAGACAATAGGTGTTTAAATACTTTACGGTGCGTTGGAAGTGTGAGCAAAGTAACATCATGAAGGATTCAGGACAACCGGCAGGGCGGACTTTGATCCCAGGGAGATGGGAAGTACGAGTGCCTGCACTCTGAAGGAGGATGTTAATGTTTGCTATTCAAATAAACTGTAGTGTAAAGCACCCTCTGCAAGACAGCGGGGGGTTGATGGAATGAATGATGGTGATAGTATTTCTTTCCGGCCCGACCCTGCCTTGGTGGGAATCGCCGGTGTGTTAATAAATAATATATAGATATATATAAACTTATATATATATATATATATATATAATCATAAATATATAATAAATATATATATAAATAATATATATAATATATATATATAAGCCACTATTTTTTTCCCCTCTCCGAGCTAAAAGTTGAGGTCCACCTCAGTGGACATCATAGTTTTTGGATTACAGTGGCATTTTCTAGAAAGCTGTTGAAAATTTTTCCTTCCATTTTCCTTAGTGGAAATCTATTTCTTGTTACAGTTTTGTGAAAAACATTACAACAATTTACAGTTTATAGATGACGGAAGATTAATTTGTTCTCTTCAAGCAGCAAGCATTGCAACTCGGGATTGTAACAGTAATACACTGCAAGAGGAATATGGCTTCAGCCTTAGATCTCTAGTCGATTCGAAAGGAGAATTGTCATTGGATTTAATATTTTCCACAACCCAGCAAACGACTGCTACTTACTCATTGTGGGTTTGTTGGGTAAATTACTAGTTCACATTTCGAAAGGTTTTGGGAGAGGCCTAAATTCTCTACGTGTTCTCTTATTTTTCCGATGGCTTTTGTGATCCAGCCAGATACCATCAGCCAGGCCCAGATGTCGACCTCAAATGCCAGCTCCCTCGGTGATTTAATCACTGGCACACGTAGTAATTCAAGGAAGATAATGAAATCTCTCAATCATGAATTTTAAATATAACTTTAAATGACCAAAAATTCCACAGTCGGACAACTCAGATAACAGTGTAAAAAAAATGTATAACATTTATGATAGAGGACTTGTTGGCAGCAATCAGTGTAGAGCTTCTCTGCTTGCCAGGGAACCATGCCACTGACTCGCACGTAATACAAATGCACATAGCCCCTATGCAAATGCAGGTATACATGCGCACACGCAAATACACACCGGAGCTAATACTCGACCCTCTGCAATCACATAGAAAGCGAGTACACACCAACCGCTCTCTGTTCCCTCCTCATTCAGAAAAAAATAACATCGTGTTTACCTGAAGAGGGTTTTCGTCGGGGCCAACGCCCTCTGCGGCCCGTCTGCGGACCGCCTCAAGAGATCTGGTCTGATCAACCAAGCTGTTAACTTGCTGCCGCACGCAAGCAAACATACAATCACAGCCGGTTGGTCAGTACTGATTTTAGGTGCCTGTCCATTGTTATTGTATATACCATGATTTTAGTAAATGAAGCATCATTCCGATGCTTCATATACTAAATCATGGAATATACAAAAACAATGACAGGCACCTAAAATCAGTTACCTGGACCAGACCAGCCTGTGAATCGATATGTTACTTGCGTGCGCCACAGTAACAGGCCTGGTTGATCATACCCTGAGCCACCAAGACGGCCGCTCTCAGACCGGGCCGCAGGGGCGTTGGCCCCCGAAACCCTCTCCAGGTAAACACGATGTTATTTTTTTCTGAATGAGAGAAAGAGAGCGGTTGTGTGTACTCGCTTTCCTATGAGATTGCAGGGGTCGAGTCTTAGCTCCTGTGTGTATTGCGTGTGCGCTGTATACCTGCATTTGCATATGTGTATGTGCATATGTATACGTGCGAGTCAGTGGCAGGTCCCTGGCAAGCAGAAGCTCTACCTACATGATCTGCTGCAACAAGTCCTCTATCAAAATGTTATACATTTTTTTTGCACTGTTATCTGAGTTGTCCGACTGTTGAATTTTGGTCATTAAAGTTATATTAAAATTCAGATTGAGAGATTTCATAAACATTCCTTGAATTAATACGTGTGCCCAGTGATTAAATCACCGAGGAGCTGGCCATTGAGGTCGACATCTGGCGCCTGGCTGATGGTACTCTGGCTGGATCACAAAAGACATCGGAAAAATAAGAGAACACGTAGAGAATTTAGGCCTCTCCCAAAACCTTTCGAAATGTGAACTAGTAATTTACTCCAACAAACCCACAATAGAGTAAGTAGCAGTCGTCTTGCTGGTAGTGGAAATCATAAATCCCAATGACAATACTCCTTTCGAATCGACTAGAGATCTAAGGGCTGAAGCCATATTCCTCTTGCAGTGTATTACTGTTACAATCCCGATTTGCAATGCTTGCTGCTTGAAGAGAACAAATTAATCTTCCGTCATCTATAAACTGTAATTGTCTGTAATGTTTTCAACAAAACTGTAACAAGAAATAGATTCACTAATGGACAAATGGAAGAAAAATATTCAACAGCTTCTAGAAAAAGCCACTGATATTCCTAAAACCTCTGATGTCCACCCTGAGTGGACCTCACTTTTAGCTCGGAGAGGGGAATTGGCTTATATATATATATATATATATATATATATATATATATATATATATAAAATATATATATTATATATATATATATATATATATATATATAAATATTTATTAACAACACCGCCGATTCCCACCAAGGCAGTGGCCCGAGAAGAAAAACTTTCACCATCATTCATTCCATCACTGTCTTGCCTACAGAAGGTGCTTACACACATGTTTTTATGGAAAACGGCAACATTAACATCCCCTCCTTCAGAGTGCAGGCACGTACTCCCATCTCCAGGACTCAAGACCGCCCTGCCGGTTTTCCTTAATCCCTTCATGAATGTTACTTTGCTCAACACTCCATCAGCACTAAAGTATTAAAAACCACTTGTCTCCATTCAACTCCTCTCAAATACCGCTCACGCATGCTTGCTGAAGTCCATGCCCCTGGCACACAAAACCTCCTTTACCCCCTCTCTCCAACATTTCCTAGGCCGACCCTACCCCGCCTTCCTCCACTACAACTTTATTCACTCTCGAAGTCATTCTGTTTCGTTCCAGTCTCTGCATGTCCGAACCACCTCAACAACCCTTCTTCATCCCTCAGACAACTGTTTGGTAATCCCCGCACCTCCCTCCTAACTTCCAACCTACGATTCTCTGCATTATATTCACACCACACATTGCCCCTCAGACATGACACTCCACTGCCTCCAGCCTTTCTCCTCGCTGCAAACATTCATCACCATGCTTCACACCCATATAAGAGCGTGGTAAAACTAAACTCCTCTCTCTTCTATATATAAAATTAATATATATATATAGATAGATATATATATATAATAATATATATATAATATAAATATATATAAATATCATAAAAATATATTATAAATAAATATATATATATATATATAAATAATAATATAAATATCTGAAATTTTACCCATGTTATCCAAAAATTTTCTTTCCCCAGGCCTTATGGGATAACTCTCCTTCTCCCCCCCATTCTGCAAGATGTAGGTGAAAGCGTAGTCCATGCGACCTCCCTGGCAGCCATAACACAGATGACAGCAGTCTATCAGGTTCTGTTCTGAGATGTTCAGCAGGCGACCCCACCGACGGTAGTGCTGACCTTCAAGTGACCCTGTCTGACAAAAATAAGAAGCTTATTAATTTCTTTATGTCGTTGAATTTACAGGCTAAGAGCTATTATTATACCTCAACTCATTTACCGGCTAAGTTATCCTATTCTGCCACAGATCACTTACAGGTCTGTTATTCTACCTCAACTCCTTTACAGAGACCCATTATTGTACCTCAGCTCACTTCTCTTCTATGTATTATTTTTATTTAGAGGGGAGTAGGGCTGCCTAAATACAGGTGAAGGACTATTTGTCCAAAAAATAGAAGTACTCGCCTTCGTTATGTCATATATGATTGCCTCATTCCCCAGGTAATATAAGACCTTACAGGTTGGCGTTTTTCAGTGAAAATAATAATACATATGTTATAACAAATCGGAAATTTCCCCTAAAAGGAGTGAGAACGTAAACCTACACTGAGAGATATATCTTTAATGTATATACTGAATTTAAACTATAATTTAGGAATTAATGTATCCTTAATGTTAGTACAGTCTATTCTCAGGCTTTAAACACAAGCTATTACACTTGAAGCCAATAAGGCAGTCTGACCCCCAAAGAAGAAAAATACATTCACTACTACTAGTTCCATATCTGTCTTTCCAACAGTGCACGGATATCGCAAGTCACATGATTTGTTATCTACCTTATATCTAATCTGCTGTACATACTTGCTCGGTCTCCTAACTCATTCAACTCTTCTTCAATATAAAGCACTTAAACTTTGCTTGAATAAAGGTCATATAACGTCTGGGGAATGGAGGTAATTAGGTTTGATCCAAGGGAGAGTGGTTCCAATTCTTCGGCTCAAGAACCCTTCACTGGCATCAAGGCACTTCCCTTCCCCCTCCTTGCGAATGGAGGAACTCTATTAGGATTAAAAAAAAAATGAGGGAGTAATCCCTGGGCATTAACCCAAGTATACATCATAAACAAAAATGTCAATGAAATAATCTAAAAAACACAAATACCGTTCTTTCTCGCCTCTCTAAGACTACCACATTTTCCCCTTACCTAAGATCATCGAACATGGAATCTTTCGGTTGCAACTTACAGTCGAGAATGCCCAGCCTGAAGCACACTGGCCCTGGCTCTTGACACCAGTAACGGCACCCTTCTTACGCCAATCCACGGTGGAGGGAAGCTTCACATCACCGTCAGGAGCAATGTAAGTAGCGCCAGTGCTGTGGCTGCCATTACTGGTTTTCATCTTGTCAAAGCCACTCGCTAAAGACACAATCTCTTCTCGTAGCTGTTGAGTAAGTTTTATTTTAGGCAACTGTGTGTATTATTTTTATGACTGAATTCATGTCTACATAAACAACTAATTACGATCGTAACCCTGGACTCACGAGCCTCTGTAATCCTTCGACTACCGCCCACAGGAAGGGGATAGGATACATATTAAAGATATTATGCTAAACTAACCCATTAAATTTAAGGGGGTTAGAGCTAAACTTATATAAGTTATATTGAACACAGTTTCTTGTAGTTAATGAATACGATTTTAGACTATGTTTATATTCATGGAGAAGCGCTTATCTCTCAAGGTTATACAGCGCCTAAAGAACGGGAGATAATTAGGTCTGAGATGAGGAAGAGGAGGGTAGATATAATTCCTGTGATCAACAGCCCTTCAACAGTATCAATGTACTTTCCGTTGAAGGGTTAAATTGAAGACAAAATATGATACTCAGTGATGCAAGACAAGTCTACAAGTGGAGGGATGATATTATGTGTATACATTTAAGTATTAGTTATAACTGATTTATGAATATTATATATCGTGCTGTATGTCGAGTGGAAAGACAAAGACAGAGAGCATATCTGATGAATGACGTACCATATCTCCAAATTGATTGACTTCGAGCTTGAAAGACGTGAGGTTCTGTGCATAAAGTTTATTATGCTCCAGCACTCTGTGTTTGTTATCGAAAAAGATCTTCATGCGGTAGTCTTCTTCCTCCAAGCTGCTATACTGCTTCTGGTATTCCAACTGTATAATTAACTCAGTTTGTAAAATTTATATTCTATTCTTAAGAACATAAAATATGGCTAAAAAAATAAACTAGGTGTATATATATATATATATATATATATATATATATATATATATATATATATATATATATATATATATATATATATATATATATATATATATTCAAACAGCTCCGGGGAGAACCTTGAGTTTTCTCTGAGGTACGTTTATTGTCTTCTCTGAGGATGAGGGTCCCCATTCCAGCTATAGAGGTGGTACTTCCCTATATATATATTATATATATATATATATATATATATATTATAAATATATATATATATATATATATATATATATATATATATACCCCTCTCGGTGTATAAGCATTACTATGCAAATCTGTGTGTGTATCTACAGAAATATACACCTCTTGGTATTTACACTGATATACACATCTCTGCAAATACACTGATATACACATCTGGGATATGTAATTTCTTGGAGTATACACATCAGGAGCTGTGAATTGACCCCTGCAGCTACATAGGTGAGCACACATCTTGGTGCATTTATCCTGTATATAATGTATATGTTTAAACAAATTACATAATTATAAATATATTAATTGACCTTGTGAATAATAATATTGGTAGTAGAATTATTACTAGTATTAGCATTAATCTGACTCACTCGAAAGGACCATGAAATAATCCTCCAGCGAAATTGTGGGTTATTTTAATTAATTGTTTCATCCACGGTATTGCGACTATTTTTTAGTCCTACTCTGATTCCCAAAGGAGTTTCATAACAATTTAGATTTTTAGATTTTTGCCACCGAAGTGACTGGTTTATTGTGCACCCCATATCCATCCTGTGGAGGGTAGCCCAAGAGCATATGGATACACAAAAGGCCTAGGAACTAGGCCCCAAAAGGGTTAACAGGTGTACATACGGATTTATATCTACATACACAAACACTAAGGATGTATCATTTTTGTAATTTTCTTATACATGTGAAATCTATAGTTGTAATACCATACCTTGAAAAGTTCCCACTCATCGTGTGCCAGGGAGATAATGGAGGCTGCAGTTGCAACCTTCCCCACCACAGTCACCACCACGGTCACCACCACAGTCAACTCAGCCACTCCACGCCACATCTGTCAAGCTGTGGAGTTGGCTTACATCATTCATGGATCAAAGCTTTCCCCAGTCATGGATGAGTTAAAAAAATGTGCACTAACCTGATTGAGACACGGCTGCAGTGTTGAATCATTATTCACATGTGACAACTCTGGAGTATACATCATATACTAACGTGTATATACCTCTAGAGTATATACACTTCAATACATGTGTATATACCTTTAGGATATACCCTATATACCTGGAGGATGTTGCAGGGGTCAACGCCCCCGCGGCCCGGTCCATGACCAGGCCTCGTATAATTTTCTTTAGAGTAGAGGGTATATACAAGAGTATTTACTCTTGTATACACCTTATATTGATTATAATATGCATCCACTTGTATATAACTGAAGAGAATTTACCTCGTTCATGCGGAAGTTTTTTACTTTGAATCATCGTATCAGTGAACGCAGTGGGAATGATCACTGACTGTGGTTCTGATAGCACGCTGTTACTTACTTGATAAGATGAGGAAGGGGTTGTGGTGGAGGAATGGTGATGGTGGTGAAGTATGGGCTATGATGAAGGAGGGGGTTGTGGTGGTGGAGGGGATGAGGTGGAGGAGGTGTTGTGATGGGGGTTGTGGTGGTGATGGGGGTTGTGGTGGTGATGGGGGTTGTGGTGGTGATGGGAGTTGTGGTGGTGATGGGGGTTGTGGTGGTGATGGGGGTTGTGGTGGTGATGGGGGTTGTGGTGGTGATGGGGGTTGTGGTGGTGATGGGGGTTGTGGTGATAGGGGTTGTGGTTGTGGTGATAGGGGTTGTGGTTGTGATGGGGGTTGTGGTGGTGATGGGGCTTGTGGTGGTGATGGGGGTTGTGGTAATGGGATTGTGGTGGTGATGGGGGTTGTGGTGGAGGAAGGGTGATGGTGGTGATGGAGGAAGGGTGATGGTGGTGATGGAGGGGGAGTTATGGTGGTGATGGAGGATACAGGTGTGAGAGGGATGTGGTGTTGGGGAGGAAGTGAACGAGGCTTGTGGTTGTAAATTATTTTCAATACATGCATGAAGTGCAACACTAAACTTCATCGGAAGGGCGAAACCCGTAAGGGTCATACACCACCTGGGGCATAAGAGGTAATCAAGTTTGATCCAAGGAGAGGATAGCTCCAATTCTTTGAATCAAGCGCCCTCCACCAGCACCAAGGACCCGTCTTGAAGGGACAGTGGCAGAAGATGATGTAATAACCGATATATGTTAACACACTGCCTAAATACTTAATTCTCGTATACAGATACACTTAATCATACATATATTACATGTAATATAACTGAAAATACAGTCTGTCATTTTTTGAAGCATTATTTTCACTGGTATTAATCACGTATGGTTCACACACCACTGGAAGTAATCAGGTATTATCCTAGGAAGTGGGGAGGATATCTCCAATTCCTGGGATCAAGCATACCATTTCTTGAGCATTACAAAAAAAATATTAGCTGGAATTTATGGACTAAGACCATTTTAGAATAGGGCAACTGGGCAAGCACCAACCTTCTTTCCTGGTGTGAGAGTCCCGAGTGACTTGCAGTGGCTGCCTCAAGGTTATATACACACAGGTGTCTACCTGTGTGTGTACACACACTTGACTTTAATCCCCATTTTAAGGATTAATTAAAGTCTTCGCAATAGGTGTACATATGGCATACAGTTTTAAATGACTTGTGAAGTCGATTAGATTTTAAACCTAATAAACCAAGATGCCAGACTTGAATTATGCATTACACATTACATTACGCAAGAGAAAAAAAATCACTCGCTAGCGCGCAAACGCGCGCACACACTGTATATACTCGCCTATTTGTGTTTGTTGCATGGGGTCGAGTCATAGCTCCTGGCCCTGCCAGTATATATATACATACATACATACATACATATATATATATATATATATATATATATATATATATATATATATATATATATATATATATATATATATATATATATATATATATATATATATATATATATTCTTTCTTTCAACATACCAGCCATATCCCACCGAGGCAGGGTGGCCCAAAAGAAAAAACTAAAGTTTCTCCTTTTAAATTTAGTAATATATACAGGAGAAGGGGTTACTAGCCCCTTGCTCCCGGCATTTTAGTCGCCTCTTACGACACGCATGGCTTACAGAGGAAGACTTCTGTTCCACTTCCCCATGGAGATAAGAGGAAATAAACAAGAACAAGAATTAGAAAGAAAACAGAAGAAAACCCAGAGGGGTGTGTATATATATGCTTGTACATGTATGTGTAGTGTGACTAAGTGTAAGTGGTGCAAGACTACTGTAATTGCAAGTAAGACAGACAAAACACCAGCAATCCTACCATCATGTAAAACAATTACAGGCTTTCGTTTTACACTCACTTGGCAGGACGGTAGTACCTCCCTGGGTGGTTGCTGTCTACCAACCTACTAATTATATTTATACATATATATATATATATATTATATATATTATATATATATTATATATATATATATATAATATATATATACATATATATATATGTTCGTGAATAGCCGAAGAAACTATAAAGCCTAAATGAAATATAAGAAACCAAAGTATTTTTTCTTCTTTATGCCAAAATCAAATCGGAACTAACGTCAGTACATTGGCCCTATTAAACAAGATGGGTCCTATCCAGATACAGCAAGAAATATGTGAGTACTCAAGTTCCCAATATGACTCAGTTTTTTAGCAAGCCGCTAACCAGCTGAGAGTGAAGATTCAAAAAACTAGAATATTTTTATGGAGGCACAAATTTGATTTAACACAAGGTTATGAGTTTCCTGAGTCCTTTTCGTGAAACAGTCGATAAATTTACATCCATGCACCAATGCCCCAGGGCCAGATCATGGAACTCTGTGTTCATACAAGAACTGCAAGAAGCCCTTCTACGAGCCTTTTCCATTCTATGGAGAGGGAGCATGACACGGGGTCGTCCCTCAGTTTACTAAAAACAACTAACATAGCCCACTCCACAAAGGGGCAGTAAAGCAACAGCAAAGAAATACAGACCATACATAACATTCCCATATCATAATAAATCTTTGAAAGGGTCCTAAGAAATAGATCACCACCCATCTAGAAACACCTATTACAATACCCAGGGCAACATTGGTTTAGATACGGCGCTCTGTCTGTCTCAACTACTGGTATCACTCTCCAAGGCTAAATCCACTAGAAAAAAGACCAATTTTATATTACAGACTTTGCAAAAGCCCCGGTATGTGATAGGCGTATACTCGCACAAAGCGCGCAAGAAAACAGGAAAGTGGGCGATGGATCTTAATTCTCACTAACAAAAAGAGAGAGAGTCTACATGTCAAAGTCAGCAGGCGACAGAAAAGCTCTGTTCCAAGGACCCCGCACTAATTCCACTTTTATTCTTATCCGACATGATAAGGCAAGCACGTATTCTCATTTCCGCTGCCAATCGAGATGCTTTCTTCCACAGACACTTTCAGGTCTGTCACGCTACATCAACCCAATCCTTTACGGAGACCATTATTGTACTCAGCTTTACTAAAATTTAATTACTGTATGGTAGAGGAGGAAGTTATCTAAATCAGGTCAAACAATTTGTCCAAAAAATAGAGTACTCGCCATCGTTGTCATATTGATTGCTTCATTCCCCAGGATATAAGACCTTACAGGTGCATTTTTCAGTTTAAATAATAATGCATATGCTAGAAAAATCGGGGAAATTTACCCTAAAACGAGTGAGACGTAAACCTACACAGAGATACATCTTTCAGGTATATATGATTTAACTATATTTAGGAATTAATGTATCCTAATGCTATACAGTCCATTTCAGGCTTTGAAAACCAAGCTAAAAATTGAAGCAATACGGCAGCTGCAAAGAAGAAAAATCACTCAATTACTAGTTGAGGTATTTTGAACTTTTCAACTGGAACGGAAGAGCAAGTCACATGATTTATGTTACTACCTTGGATCTAATCTGCTGGTACATACTTGAACTCGGTCTCCTAATCATTCAAATCTTCTACGATATAAAGCACTTAAACTTTGCTCGACATCAAATCATATAACGCTGGGGATGGAGGTAACTTAGGTTTGATCCAAGGAAGAGTGGTTCCAATTCCTCGGCTCTGAACCCCCCACGCACACAAAGCACTTCTTCCCCACTCCTTGCGAATGGAGGACTCTACTGGACTTAAAAAAATGAGAAGTATTCCCTGCATACCCAAGTATACATCATAACTGATGTCAGAAATAATCTACAAAACTAATACCGTTGATTTCCCCGGGGGCCTAGACTACCACATTTTCCCCTTACCTAGATCATTGAACATGAATATTCGTTAACTACAGTCAGAATGCCAGCTGATAGCACACTGGCCCTGGCTCTTTACACCAGTAACGGGCCATCTTACGCCCTCAGTAGGAAGGGAAGTTCACATACCTTCGGCCAAAATTCATGATGCTGTAGCTACATTACTGGTTTTATTTTAAAGCCATCGTAAACAAACTAATTCTTAGTGTTGAGGGAAGTTAAATTATATTGCATTGTTATATAATTTTATGATAATTTTTTTAAAATAATTCGATCGTAACATGGAATCATGAGCCTCTGTATCCTTAAACGACAGAAGGGATAGGATACATATTAAAGATTTATGCTAAATACCATTAATTTAAGGGGGTAGAGCTAAACTTATTTAAGTTATATTGAATACAGTTTTTGTTAATGAATACGATTTTAGACTATTTATATTATGGAGAAGCGCTTATTCTCAAGGTTATATTAGCGCCATAAAGAACGGGAGATAATTAGTCTGAGATGAGAAAGAGGTAAGATTATTAATTCTGTATTAACACCCCATGTATAATTATTTTTAGTTAAATTAGACATAATATATATATATAAAAAATTTAAAAAATATATTATTTGGATATTTAAGTATTATTATAACTATTTTAAAATTATTTACCCAGGGTGTGTCAAAAAAGAAAAAAAAAGAGAGGAAATCTTATAATCAAAATTTCCCAAATATTACTTAATTTAAAAGGAGGCTCCTAGGTTATTTTCCAGCCCTTGGGGGGAAGGGAAAAAATCTTCATTCGGGAACTTCTTCCCCCAATACTATACTGCTTTTAGCCCTTAAATTAAACCCGTTTAAAAATTTACTTTCTTTTTTAAACAAACTAAAAAAACAAGGAATTATAATTTATAATATTAATTTTTTAATCCTTAAAAATATATTTTAAATTAAATTTTTAATATCCAATAACCCCCCTTTTGTTCCCCTCCCATCAAACGTTGGACTTGCGAAATATCCCTCCCTATTTCGGGGTTTAAATTTGTTACATATATACATTGGGATGTAATTCTTGGGCCCCTTTAGGGGCTGTG